GTTTAGATCATTTCTTTTCTCTTCCGTTTCATTTTAAATTTGGATTTTTCCTAATCTTTCAAGACTAGAGCTCATTTGAAGGCTTTATTATCTGAGCAGCAGTAAAAATTTGATAACTATCATTAAGGATGTTCATTTTGTTACGAACAATTTGAATTAAACTTTGTCAATGCCAGCATTATTTTGAAATAATTTTCAGCTGTTTTGAATTGTACCTATTTATAAATTTAAAATATAAAACAAGGTGTTTGCATTTGTATTTTTCACCCTTCCCTTGAACAATGAATAAAAACTTGCAGAGATTTGTATTTTTTCATCATCTCAAAACCTCATGCATTCACTACAAAGCACTTTTCTTTTGGCTTTTGTCGTCCCCATCTCGCGCAGCAGCTGCAGCAGTTGCACATTTTCGAGACAATTCTCATACACGATACCTATGTATGCGTAAAGAACATTCAAATGCAAACTTTTTTCATGCTTTTTCCTCCACTCTCCAGCGAAAAGGCATGCGAGAGAAAAGAAAGCGCAGAGGGTTGGCGCGGCTGCACGAAAAAAAAAGCAGAAGCAGCATCTCATAATAATATGGAGTGGATAACTTTTCCCCTGTGCATGCTAAAGCAGTAGCACATCGTTGGTTGCAGAATAATAATACATTCAAGTACTCGGGGCTTATTCGGGGCCGCCTTGTTACTAATTCAAGCTAATGCCGCCGCCACCGCCGCCGCTTCCTTCTTCTTTTCCCACACGCGCTGCGCTGGGGGACCTTTATTGCCGAGAGAGAGAGAGAGAGAGAGAGAGAGAGAGAGAGAGAGAGAGAGAGAGAGAGAGAAGAGAAAAGAGCTCAGGTGCCCGTTCACGAAATATTAGCTTCCTCCCTTTGCTCCCCAACAGGATAATACCACTCATAATCCGATATGCGCGCCGACTGCTCGAATTTAAATCTGAAGATTTGGCTTTCGTGGGTTTTGCCAAATTTGAAACATTTTATTTGATCAATGACGACACTGGCTTTTCATAAATCTGAAAACGTTACTTCAAAGTACTTTAAATTTTTGATTTCAAGTTAAACTGAAGACAAAAAGTACAATTCGTAATGAAATCAATTTTTATTGAAAAAAAATATTTAATTGAACTATGAAATTAAAATAAATACATAAATAGCATTTCAAACATTTCCTGATATTTTGCGTATTTCATAAGCAATAAATGTGCAACACAATTCGCAACTAAATCAAGAATATTTTAAATGGAAAAACGCAAGAAATTGGTGTATAAATTATTTTTGTTGCAATTAAAAATAAAAAAAGTTTTTTTTTCAACGTTTTCCATTATTTCTAGCTTACAGATTTCCCCATTCAGAGAGCACTTGGCTTTGTTCCTTTGGTTGAGTCGGTTTGATTCACTTTTCGGATTGAATTACCCTGCGCGAAACTTTCCGTGAAAGCCGGTAAAGTTAGTTTCGAGTTGACCATTTTGCGTGCGTATACAAAAGGGGTGTTTGGCGCCAAAGCAACAGATGCAGCCGGAAAAGTGAGCGGCGATTTAAATTTAATGCTCTAAACTGGCTGCTTTTGTTTGGAAGGAAGTGCGTTTTAAACGCGAGACGGATTTCATTAAAGGCACGGCAGATTAACGCTGGTGCTGCGGCAAGACGAGAGAGGAGAAAGAGATAATTGAACAGCTGCGTTCCGCGACAATTTATCATTGTCTCTCCTGCGTTGTTCGTTACGTGCCAGTGTTTAATTTTAATTGGAGAATTATGAAGGCAGAGTAAAAGGGAAAGGGAAGTGGCGACGCTAAGGTAAATGACAGAGGAGGGACGTGTCTGTTTAGAAATTTTGCCAATTTGTTTTGTTTTAATTAATTATTGGAATAATTAGAACATTCTATGCAATATAAGAAAAATATAACAGCTTAATGCATCACATTTATATTAATTTATAATCTAAAAGATACAATTTCCACAAAGCTGCTCAAAGCTAGGCCTAATAATTCCAATTTCATGTTGCGTTCACATTTGAACAAAACGTTCTGAAAATATATTTGTATATTTAAAAAAAATAATACATATATAGCAAAAAGACTTTGATACCATTATTAGAAAATAAATTAACCATTAACTAATTAAATGGTGTCAAATCAAAATATAATACAATAATTTATATAAAAAATAAAAAAATAATTAATTTATCTCACTAATTTAAAAGGAGAGACTAAATTAACGTTAAAATATTTTATTTTCAATTAAAATTTACCTTCTTTTTTTTAGTATTTTGTTTTTCGTCAGTGCAAATAAATTTTGTCTTTGTAGAGCGGTTCATTTGACTTCGTTTCCAGTCCTTCCTGTTCCTCATGCTTTGTCTTTTCGGCGCAACTCGGGCCCCCAAGGCGTGCATCAAAGAAACTTGGCAATATTATCTCCCTCTCCGCAAATTTGCTCCACAGATAAACGCCGCACACAAACTGCCACCGCCGGCTGAGTTACGCGCGCACCGATAGACTCGAAAGTTTGCAGAGATGCAAATGAGAGTGGTCGTCGGTCGGACAGCCGCCGAGTGAAATGCAGACAGACGTGCACCCTTATCTGGCCGCTTGTGTTTGACGGTGGACGAAATTTATATAAATTTATCGACGAGCGCTTCCTGTGGGCAACGCTCTTTACTTATGCAACCACCCCAGGGCTTTATTACGAGAAACCGCTTTTGGCTTTGCGCCGGTGGATGCTGCATTATGACTCTTTAACCAGGGAAGACAAACCGACCACTGCTATGGTTACGAGTGTCTTATTCAGGAGGAACACAAAGCATGTGAAATACCAACGTCAGTCTCTCCATAAATTTGCAAAACTTTGAGTGAAATTTGAATTTTGAGGCAATTTGCATGTCTGTTGCAAAAATCTTGGGCTTAAGAAATGTCTTTTAAGTTGAAAATTGAAGTACATAAAGAGCTAAAATTAAATAAAGAAATTTTCAATTTAATTTTGTTCTAAAATTTTAAATTTACAACGGTGACAGCATTGATTTTTTAATAATAATTTACTTTTTAATTCAGTTTTGAATTTGTTACAAGAACAGCGATAGACAAAATAAAAATTGCGCACACAATATTAATTGAGAAATCAAAATTTAACCTCCATTTTTACATATTCTTTTAGAGCCAAATTTCAAAAATTATAATTCCGTGAAATTAGTGGAGAATTTTTATGGGCTTAATATCGACGATCTAATTATAACTGCCTTTGATCATTCTGCAAACTCTCTCAAGCGTAAATAATTAACACTCGTGTCCAATCTCTAATCTGGCTCGGCAGAAGTGTGGGCGGAATCTGATCCGCTTGGAATAATTATCGCCATGCTCAATAATTATTTATGCAACAGATATATTTTTCTCTCTTCCTCTCTTTGATAATTACACCATCGAGTTGTTTTCGCTTTGTATCGATGGTTGTTGGAATGTTGGTAATCCTACCTACACAGTGCACGCCGCTTTTCTGAGTTGAATGTCGAGAGTTGTGTAGGATTTCGATGGAAAGAGAGGAGGCGAGTCACTTTGTGTAGATTGATGAATGGATCGGATTAACAGAGAGGATTATGATTGAGAAACTACTTTTGTTTTGTATACCTTATCCGTCTGATCAATCGAGCTTGCGCCTGAATCGTTCAATTTAAAAAAAAAATACCAATAATTAAAACAGTTAAATTTAATTGATTTTTTTTTAAATATTAAGTTTGAAAAAAAAATTGTTTTTTTATAAGTAATTATTTTTAAGCTGCTAAATACTGATTTTTTAGGTCAAACAATATAATTTTACCAAACGCACAATAAAGTGTCTGTAATTAAGATTGGTCGATCTTGACACCGAAATTAGCTGCGCACCCAGCAGCGCGAAAAGGTCAAGGTTGGCCCAATTTTCAGGTTCACCGCCTGTCAGCCGCGAGAACCTTTCTTTCTGAACGCCTCCTTGGATTCGGTTTCGTCAGAATTAAAATAAATTCATTACAGAAGAAAGAAACTTTCGTGCAATGAGGAATAATCAAAATCTCGCTCCCACATGCGGCGGCGAAAAAGAGGAAAGGAGTCGAGAGAACGACTGGCCACCGGGGGCAGCGCTCGCTCTCTTTTCAGCACCATAGCGCGTTTCGTGCAACCCACTCCGGCTCAATAAAATGAAAATGCGGGTTTGTTCGGAGAGCACCAACCTGGTTTGCCCACATGCTGATGCTTCTGTTTCATAATTTTAAATTTAAAATGTAAGAAATTTTAAAATAATTAATATATGCAACTCAATTATAATTGTCTTTAAAAAATTCCTAAAATGTTATAAAAATTTGGTAATATTTTTTTTTAATTTTCAACCCGTAAAAGAGTATATAATTAATTTCCAATTTTTAAAAGAAACGAGTACAATAAAATGTTTTTATGTTTTTCCAATTAAAAATAAATTTTGTTAATTTATATAAAAATATAAAAAGAGATATAAATTGCATGGGCCTATGAAAATAATTCTGGAGCTTCTATGAGTGGCTCAATTGTTTAAAGAATAATATATATTTATTATTTAGAACAGTAAAATCCAACAAAAATTTCATTGAACTAATTTTAATAATTAGCAATGTCTATTTTATTTTAGAAGCTCTTATAAATTTAAGTATGTTTTATTAGAAAAAACAAATAAAAACTTCTGTAAGTCTTGCTTACATTTTTTTGCTGTCAGGATTTACACGCATAAAAAATAATTTCCCATCGGTAGAGAGAGTGGATTAATTAATTCCCACGCTATAATCACGCGATTTTGAGGCACGGAACTGACGAGTCGTTACAAAAGCGGAATAAATGACATCGGTGTTGGCGTGAAATTCGGAAAGTCGAGCGTGGAAAAGTGGAAACGGAAAACGCAGCATCGAGTGGGTCGCGGCACAAGGGCGGTGTTTTCCGAGACCGCCCAAAGAAAGATTCTCTGGCGCTTTTTGAGGTTAACGATCGCCGTGCTTGGTACTCACGTTCAGCCGCCGACTGGACGGTGTCTTGGACTTGCAGCCTGCACCCGACGACGCCTGCGACACTCGGTATCGATAAGAATTCGAACGTGTGACTAATCACGATCACAAAACAAGACTTCTCGAGCGATTCACGAGAGGACTGCAACAGCTGCGGGCCCCACTTCCGGCACTTCTCCGATGCACGAATCAGACCGAGTTTGGCAAGATTTCGAATTGCGCGCCGCACGCGTCCGCCAATCGCTGCGTCGCCACACTCGTGCGTGAGAACTCGTAGTAAAATTTGGGAGTGAAACTTGTTGACACCTGCCCGCAGTGCCGCGCCATCTGCAGCTCCGGAGCGCACGCAGGCCCCGACGCCGCTTCGATGGACCGACCGAAGCGCGATCTGTGAAGTTCCAGAGGCGGCGCTTGCAAAGTGGGAAACCCTTTAAACACGAAGAGCGCCATCAAGAGAAGAGAAATAAAAATTTGAAAATAAAAAATTCATCATTTCGTCTTATTTCTATTCAGATCGAGCGTTTACTTTATATGATGATCCGCACTTTAAGTTGGCACATTTTTAGTTCCAAGTTCCAAGTTATTGTCTTGTCTATTTGTCATTTTTTTATCTCATGAGCAAGATTAATTAACACAGTAATTAATTATCAAAGTATTTTTTTTAGTGTTCCATGTGAAGCATTTTGAGTATAATTTAGAGCTACAAGACAAATTCTGAATACCCAAATTTGGAAAAACACTAGGAATTAGCATTGCTTCAAATTCAAACGTACTCAAATATTTTGTAGAATGGAACATAATATTGTATTTTTTCCTAAATACTTATCTATCGATGACAGGATTAGTTGTTTTATTTTGACGCTGCTAAAAGACGAGGCGGCAGCTGAAGATGGCTTTTTTTTACTTATCTGTCAAGGAATTGTTTAAATCATTTAATTTCAGGAGCTATAATTGTATTTTTATATGGCATTTTAAATTAAAATTCAGAACATATTCAAGGAGATTCAATTTATTCAACCCTCAACTCTACCCGTCCACATAGCCTGAGAAAGACTTCAAAAGTCCTCTAAGAGAAGGGAACCAAACCTTGGTCTACATCTTTGCTTCAAATGATTTCCACAACTTGGAAAATTAAGGCGACAATCAAATATGAAATATATATTTAAGAAAAATCAACCTACACTTTATTAAAAAATACTTTGCTGGCCAAATTTAGCTATTTGCAAAGTAGTAGTTAAAATTTTGCATGTTGGAATTGCAATTTGGAGAAATTTAGTCCCTGTTTTAAGCATTTGCACAGTATACAAATATTTACCTAGCTCTATTTATCAATGCCAAGCTCCAAAACGCTTTAATTAAATATTATATCAAAGTCCTGCCTTGCATCATAATATTTTGACTGTTATTTTAGCAAATTTTTAAATTTGAAAGGTAAGGGAGTAGCTAAAATACAAGCAAGAAAAGAAACTCATAATTTAAGCCCAAATTTAGTTTTACTAAAACTGTTATAGTATAATTATGGCAAACAATATGCCCAACAAAATTAGTTCTCGTATATTAAGCCTCATATATTGCTAAAATTGCAATACTTTAATATTACAAAAAAAAATAAGATTCTTTATAAGTATTATTTTCAAATCATAATTTCTTTTCTTTTAAGTCGGATAACGAGACTAATGAAACATTTAAGAAACTTTTAAGTTGTTAACAAAAAGTGTTGTTTTATTGTATGACTTCATTACATAAAAGAACAATAATTATACAAATTTTAACATTTAAAAAAACTTTATTCATTTTAAAAAAACTCATTTATTTTTTGTTTTAATAATTATTTAAATTTGTTTTAAAAAATGTATAAACTATTTAATTTTTTTTATTGCTACTCTGTAATTAATGAAAAATAAAATAAAAAATAATAATTTATTGTAATTTATTATTTATATATTAAAGTTAATGTTTAATTAAATATAAATATGTGTTTGACTAGAATTGAATTGAATAAACTATTAATAATTAACAGAATATATTTTTTAGTTGGCTCGGATGTACGTGGTATTGATTGTTCTGCGAGTAGATTTAATAGAACATAAAGCATTAGATAATTATGGTATAAAAATGATAATAGCGGATAATAGAAAAGAATTAAACAATATTAATATGTGACATATTGAAACGTTTTATCGATGCTTAAATATTGTGGCCGTTTTACATTGAGTGATAATTTCCAAATCAAGGAGTTAGTAGAAATTTAAATTTAATCCATAATCCCATTTTCATGGTTTGTTTAAGTAATACTAATATTTATGTAACACGTCGTTACAAAATTTAATAAAAAAAAAAATCGCAGCATCGCGAGAAGACGAAGCAAATAAAACAGAGTGGGCACCAAAAAATGTAATGCGAAAATAGTGGGGACCGCGTGTAAATGGAGAAGAAATACACATTGAGAAAGTAAGAGTGAGGCGCGCGCGATTTAGCGGGTGGGTCGCCGCGGCCGCGTGTGTGGAGTGAGGCTGGAGGCGGGAAAAGTCCACGCGAGGTGGCCGCGGAATTATCAGCGGAGTGCAAGACGAGTGCAGCGGCTAGTGAGGCTCGAGTCGCGAGCGCAATCGGTCTAGTGCGTCAGTCGGCCGCGTGTGCGTGAAAATCGGCGCGTGTTATTATTTGTGAAATTAGTGAATTGAATCTTATCGGTTGATGAACGATCGAGGACAATTACAAGTGGATATACTCGAAGAAGAAGAAAAACGAACATCTGTGCGCTTCGGAATCACTAATCTTGCGAAAAAGGTATGTTTTCATCATTTATATTAGTCTTAATTAGTTTCTTTGAAAAATAATTCATTTCAAGACTAAAAATTTTCAAACAGAAGCTTCGAGAATAAAATTCCACTTTAGAATTTTATTGTATTGGTTTAATTCCTAGAGATATACACAAAAAATAAATAATTCATTTAACGAGCCTTCAATTTCTGGTTAATGATTAATTCTTGTATTAAAGACATTTTTTTTATTTTTTAAAAATTTCTCATCTTTTTGAACTATAATGGTTTGTCCCTTAAACTTTTGTCAAATTGACACTTAAAATGGTGACTCATTCCCTCTTATGAAATATACATATATTAATTTATATTTCCCCTCAAAAACCTCAGGCAGGCCAATGTCATTTGCTTATAATATTTTTTTTTCGTTAATTACGAAAATAAGCAAAGATAAAAGCGCTCGGTCAGCCTCTCTATTGGCAAATCTCGCGGCGCTTCACCTCGTCGGTCTTTCGGAGAAACTTAATACGCAATTGGCGGGTGTCAGTGGCGGAGAGGACATATCAAAATTTGTTGCAAGAAAACAGGTTCAATGAGTATATACAGCATTATTATTTCGTACGCTTTTTCTCGGCGAGTGAAAATAAGTTGGCATAAAAGTGCTGCGCGCAAATTTTTTCCGACGCCTCCTCTTCAAGCCGCCAAGAGCCAGTCAGCCGATTCGAAGGCCACGCTGAGTAGCGAGACTTTTTATTCCGCGTGCACAGCAATGTGTGTGCGCAAATATTTGCGCTTGGAGTCGCGCCAGTCAAAAAAGCTATATCAGTATTTTTTCTCCGCGCAAATTGGAATTTGAAATTTTTTATTTAAGACGTCAGCTAGATTGATTATCAGTTGCAAATTATTATTAAAGCCTAGTGATTATTGGGAAACTTAATTTATTTAAAACGGTTTGTACACTTTTGGTATTATTCTGCGTTGTCATAGGCATCACCTTTAAAATTGGGTTTAAAAATTTTATACCACAATATTATTTTATAACTGAGGTATTAAATTAAACTATAATTTTTAGCACATTTTAGCCCTTAAAGCCTTTAAACAATGCTTTATTTAATTTCGTTTTTTAAATAATTAAAAAAAATTAAAATTACTGGCATTGGATGAAAAAAAATTTGTTTATAATTTTGAATATTTTTCTTCTTTTATAAATTTTAGATTCATCGATGTTCATGTAATATAAAAAATTCATAAATTGAACATTTTTAGGCAGGAAAAAAAAATTTTAAATTTAATTAATAAATTCTCCACTCAACATCTCTAAAAACTGATAGCAATTAATAATTTTAATTATTATATAATTTAATGTGCGTTGTAAATTGATAATTTCAAAAAAGTTCCATAGATTGGTTATGGAGTGCTTGAATTTTTTTGACTTGAAAAAATCCGGAATTAAAATTCTATGAAAATTTCAATGACTTAAAAAAAATCAAACTTAATAAAGTATCTTCATTGAGACAGACATTTTTTATTATTCTTATAAATCGTAATAATATTCATTTTTTTATTTTCATTTTTCTTATTTTCAACTTATGCGTTCTTATTTAATAAGATTAGAATACTATGCATTTATTAAACAAATCTAGTCATTTTTCTATTAATTGAAAGAATAAATAAATTTTATATATGACGAAAAGGTTTACCATATTATTGCATACGACAAATTGTAAAAATATCATAACTGGCTTCTGTCTCGCTCATCGCAATTAGACCGGCCGTCAGTTATTTGATATATCATGTCACCAACACTTTTCTGTGAGGGATAATTTTTATCGCGCAATGGGCGTATATTTATTCTGAAATGGCTGGATTACTCTTGACTCGTTTCGAATGCGCTTTTCACTACTAGAGTTTCACGTCACGCGTTCTGCATTCACGTTTTGGAGGGTTTCCTTGTGTGTCAGTCTGCTGGGCAGGACACACAAGACCATTTCGACGTTTCCACCAGACCGAAAGGGGTTTCGTGCATCAAACACTTATGCAACTTTCAAGGATTCGCGCGCGGGAAAAGTTATTTATACACGCCGCGGAAATTTAAAGGGTTTTATGGAAGCTCAAATAAAAAAGAAAAAGCTTTCAACAAAGACGCGCATTCCTAGGCGAGTTTTTCGCCCGACTTTCCTTTCAGCGGCGAAAGAGCAAAAAGTTGGCGAGAATGCGTTCTTTGAAGTGGCCATAAAAATGACACACTCTCTCAAGAGAGGAAGATTCCTCAGCGATTTTCTTCCGAGAAGGTTCCTTTTCTTTCTTTCGCTCTCTCGGCGTGTGTGGAGATGCGGAATTCGCAAATAGGAGGGTTTGCGATTATGCGAGGCCTTGAACTCCGCGAGGAACTTCTTTGCACCCGCCCTTAGAAAAATGCTACAAAAGAAAAGGCGAAACGTATTAATGGGTCTTGTTGTCTGCTGACAAGCGAGGACCGCGTCATTTCCCGCCGCCAAATTCGCGTTGGTCAGCATTTCAGCGATGAAATTAAATTTGTATATGTACTTGCGAAAAGCTCGTTCAGCAGGATTATAATAAATGAAATCTTGTTTCAGTTTCGCCCGGCCAGTCGTAAAACCTTTATTATTCCGGCTAACGAGCCTCTACGTGCGCCTTTCTTCGCAATTTCGGCAAATTTTATTATTTCGCGAGGGAAAAAATCTGCATTAGAACCCTTTATGTCCCCTGATTTCTGCGAATTTTAATTTAATATAAATTCATTTATGTCTCCCCCATATTTTTCTCTGCTTTTCAAATAACGCATTATTTTTAAGTCTCTGGTTTTATTAAAAAAAAAAAAACAGTACTAAAATATGAAAAAGAATTATTATTATTTTTTAATTAAATTAATTCGATTCTTTCATGAAATATCATATTTTGGTAAAATCTTACAGTACGCCAAATCTTCAAAGTTCACATTAATTTTTGTATCAGTTTTATTTGGAATCAAGAAAAATAACTAAAAAAAAAATGCAAATAATTACCTTTCAAATGCTTTGAAAGATCTTTTACTTCTGACAAAACTTCTTAATTATAATAGATAATTGTCAGTTATAATTAATTAATTCTTGGAATCCGAGTCAAAACTTTTTAAATTGTCATGAAAATAAAACAGATTTGTGAAAGGCTGTAAAATTTGGAACTCAACTATTATTTTCTGAGCGTCAAATTGACATCATGATCAAATCTGCACAAATATCATTATTCAATGGGCAAAACCCAATTAATGATCTGAAATTGCCAAAGATTTTGTCTGGTAGCGTTTTCAAGATCCATCTAAAAATACCTGACGTGTCCATTTTAGCCAATTTCTGGGCCAGTAATTTTCGCATCCTCAACTAGCAATATTTATAAAGTGACATTTTGTTTCAATACAAAAAAAAATTTGTGCGTTTTTAATGCAGCCTATCCCTCACCGTGAACGTTTCCAATTCAAATTTAATAAAACTGCTTACAAGAAAATAAGGGGTCTTGAGCTAAATTTTAATGGTGCCGCTTTATTAGTCTGGCAATAAGAATTTTGATCGAAGTTCACGATCCTTTTTTTTCAAATAATCAACAATGCGAAGATTATGAAATATGAATGACTCTCTGAGAAACATCATTATTCTCTTGACGCACGGTTAAATCTCTGGCTTCTGGTTTGCGCGCCAAAATCGTCGGCTGAGCTGCGTATTTATTTATTCCCAGTCAGTCCGCTTGATTTTATGGCACAGCAGCGAGAGGAAAAAAGTGTTTGGCAACCAGAGCCATGCATCCATAGTGGTAATGTGACCTTCAGCTTAAACAGACTTTGCTAAGTACTTTTTTACTTATGCTCTCAGCCCGTCAGACTGGTCCTCCTTAAAATTTGGCGCTTAATTTTTTCACGAGAGACGGTTTTAGCAAATAATTCAATATCTCTCTCGGCAAATGAAACGCCTCGAGAGACTCGAGGGGCATTTAATAATTCTCTTTCGCCGAATTCCTTTCTCACACGGCGCGCTCTTTAGTTAATTGCTTTATATTTGTATTATGGATTGCTTGTCCAGCTCCGCTTGAGCAAGACAAATGAGAATGCGCTGCGCCTCGGCGTGCATGAATTATGACCATTAAGCACAACATTAAACGTGCAATTAAGTAAATAGAGCAGCTTATGCGGTTGAGAAGCCTCAAAATTAAATTATTGCTTGCATAACCATCACATCTGAATACTGTTTCTACATATTATTACTCAAAGATATAAAAATATTGATATAAATTAGAAATTTATTAATTTTCTATGGATTTCTTGCTGTGTTGTTAAAATTGAATTTGTGTCGACCGATTTAAAGAATTATCATTTTTTAACCTGCCAGAGAGAACATGCATGAATACCACAAATATACATTTTGTGTGTTTATCAAAATTTATTTAATTAACAATAAGATTGGTATTCTCAAATTGCGTAAAAAATTCGAAAGAGATTTAACAAAAATATCAGAAATTTCAAAAAAACAGTAAATATTTCCAAACGTAGCTATCCAAATTGTATTTGTTTTGTATGTGATATAATAAAAAAATCTTTTACAAGTCTAATACAATTTAAAATCAAAGTAAAATAAAATTACATTATAATATAAAATTGTGACTCAACAAATTTATTCGGCTCAATATTTCCATTCACAAATTGTTGCTTTCGAAAGAAACTTTTCTTGTGTGATTGTATATGAAATTTATGAAAACGTTCATCCTGTGTTGAAAGGAGCATTGCTCCCTGCAATTTAACTCTCAACAGAGGCAATAATCAACAGGCAGAAATGAAATGTGGCGTTGTTCTTCAAAAGTGGCACATTGAGCGCCGGCTGACTCCCTTATTACACGTACGGGCAGAGCCGTGGATAAATTACTCTTTACATATTGTGTTGTTTCAACACACACGCGTTTACGACCACACACTTCTTCTTCTCCGCGAGAGACCTGGAAATGCACGGAGAGGCGTGCGCGCTTTTCAAAAGCAACACTTTT